CTTTGTCCAAAGATGCTCTAGGACAAATTTGGTCAAAATCCTTCTATTGGTTGAGAAGAAGAAGATTTTTAAAGATTTACCTATTTTCCCCCTATTTGGCCCCGCCCCTCTGCCCCCAGGGGGGTTATACCCTCCGTTTATACAAAACTGAGAACCCTTTGGCCAATGATGCTCCTGACCAAATTTGGTCAAAATCCTCTGAGCCATTCAGGACAAGTAGCATTTTAAAGGAAAAAGTTGACGGACGCCGGATGCCGGACGCCGGACGCCGGAGGCTGCACCATGGGATAAGCTCACATGGCCCTTTGGGCCAGGTGAGCTAAAAACAAATTAAAATTTGGTTTGAGACTACAGTTTAGGGCATTTACAAATCTGTGTCTACACAACAAAAGCTAGCTTTTCATGTAGTCTATTTTTGTACTCGGCACAGGTGTAAATATATGCTAAAACGTGAGTATTTCTGTTACCGAGTAGGTGATATTTAATTTAAGACAGGTTTAAAGAAAAAAATAACTACTTGCATGGGTCAAATTTTGGGTTAAAAATCACGTTGTTGTTTTTTTGGGTTTTTTTATGTGGTATTACCATAGTTTTCACAAGTCCCAAATCTGGGGAAAACACTTTTTGGAAAAAAAAATCATTCATTCTTCTAACATAAATATATTCAAAATGTAGTTTATAAATATATATATTTATATATGTATGTAGGTGTGTGTGCAGGATGAATCTACTATCCATGTTTATCTGAGACATGCCCTTTATATTTAGGATCAGGCCACTGAAAAAAAATGCCTTTTTATGCTTGATTCAGCTTCGCTTTCATTAATTTTTGCTTAAAACTACACAAAAACGTTTAAAAAGTAATAGATGTAGGTAAATACATAGGTCAATAGTATGTTACCTGTGGGATGTATAAAGGGGGTAACTCGCCCTTTTCACAGGCACTTCACAATTCATCACATATGTCTCAATTGTGTTATTGGTAAAGTTGATCCCAAACATCAAATAGTTCACAGGCTATCTCCTGATGCATTCAGACTAGATTTCATTCTGTTTCACTCAGTTCAGCGCCCGGTATCCATGGTTACTAATACATAAAGTTGTATTTATTGAAGATGGGTAAATATCTGTTTTCATTCTAATTCCACTATTTTATATGTTTGTTTCCACTTGATTCAGCATACAGATTAAATTAGCAAAGTCAATAATGTCAATAAATTAAATTTTCATAAATACAGCTGAAGAAAATCTTTTTTTTCTAGCGAAATATGTTAAATGAACAATTTCTGAGGGTCACTGTCAATTCTAGGCGAGGACAGTAAATAAACGGTTGGTGTGGTGGTACTAGTCTGATGTTTCAGAATATCTGACATTTTGGTGCTGTTCATCGGTTACGGGAAGTGTGTCTGTTGCTAGTTTGTTGTTGTGATGGGTTTCCTAGTGTCCATTTTGATATCAGTGAGCCTTGATGATGTCATAGATGCCCATTGATGACGTCATAGTTATGATGACATCACAGTAACTATATATGACGTCATCAAACAAGACAGAAACATCATAGTACATATATGACAGATGAAAAATGGTAGTGAGTAAGATCAGAAGAGTAAGAAGAAGGCAATTAAAAAGAGATTGTAATTGATAACAAAGGAGATGACCAGGACACACATGGTGGTAGGAACTCAAAGGGAAAGAAGTGTGTGGAAATGTCTGTGTGAAGGGTCAGAGGACAATGGTGTGTGGATGTAAGGTCCATTTAGTATAATGCATTGATAAGTTAATCGTGGTCCTTAGACAGGGAAATGGTCATCAAAAGACTTCTAAAAGAGAAATGTAGCCCCGCCTCCTAGGGATGGAATTAGCCAATAGAATTAGAAGATTTAGTTAAGTAGAAGTAGTGTTAGATTGTTTTTATAATAGGTAGAGTTCTAAGGAGAGAGCTGAAGGAGAGAGTCCAAGGACAGAGTCAGTAATAGACAGATATAGAATTACAGAGAGATCTTGGGAAGTGAGACTGAAGAGAACTAAAGGAGAAAGAATGGAGTTGGAAACAGAAGGGAATGGATTGAACAATCAAGTTTCCATGTATAAGATATGAAGTTGGACTTAAATAAAGGAAGTGGAACTGATAATGTGTCATCATTTGCAACCTAAAGTTCCCAAGTTACCTAGGGTCCCAAGTAATAACAAGTCAGACCCTAGTGATAACAAATCGACCGGTGATATGTTTTTTTGTTTTTCACATGCACATGATTTTGTACAATGAATAACCCCTGTAATATTGCATGTATCAAAGTTAAAAAAAACATTAAAATTGGCATATACATGATGAAGTGGACTCTGTGGGTTTCATAATTTTTCAAAAACAAAATTGAATTTAGTTTGAGACTACATTTTTGGCCATTTACAAATCTGTGTCTTACACAACAAAAGCTAGCTTTTCATGTAGTCTATTTTTGTACTCGACACATATGTAAATATTGTAAAAAATCCAGTTGAACGACCTATGCTAAATTGTGAGTATTTATGTTACCAAGAAGGTGATATTTAATTCAAGACAGGTTTTAAAAAAAATACTACTTAATAGCCTGGGTCAAATTTTGGGTTAAAAATCATGTTTTAATTGCATATTTTGGTGTTTTTTGATGTGGTAACCATGGTTTTCACAAGTCCCAAATCTGGGGAAAACACTTTTTGAAAAAAAATCATTCTTCTAAAATAGATATATTCAAAACATATATATATATATATGTAGGTGTGTTGTGCAGGATGAATCTACTATCCATGTTTATCTGAGACATGCCCTTTATTTTTAGGATCATGCCATTTCTACTGTACTCTGCTACCTAAAATTCATACAATACATTTCAAGTGTGCCATCAGACATTTATGATTTTTCTACTGAGCTTGGACTCAATATACCTACCTAACATTTTAAAGGTTATTTTCCAATGAACTTTCCAGTTGATGTATGAATACATCAGCATATTATCAACCTGATTGCTCTGTTATTCTGCGGAGCATGGGAATTAGTTTTATTAATAGATTTTTTATATTTTTTTGGGGGGGGGGGNGGGGGGGGGGGTCGGACAATTTGAATTGAATCAAAGAAAACTAATTTACATCTGAATTTGTTTGTTCGTTGCAATCGTTGCAAACCAATTGTTCATCTAACCAGGACAACACCTTACAGTGAGTGATGACATCATAAGCTCCTGTACCTTCTGTGTACAAGTATACATCTATTGAATTTATCGTTTAAATGTATTCGCTGACCTACGTGTTTATGGCTGTCGTGGTTGACAAAAAATACGGAACTTTTTTTTTTTAAATAAACACCTGTAATTTGTTACATGATATGAGAGATTAACTGGGAAATACCCTCTATATCATTCATTTTTACCTATTGTCTTCATTGTGGAGTCATTTACACAATAGTTTCAGCATGGAAACTCTAAAGAAAAGTCTTTCAGCATGTTTTACAGTTTTGTATTAAACGGACAGTTTGGTGATATGTTTTCTGTTTCACATTGAAGAGGTTGTATTCCGGAAGTCACTTATATCTTTGACACAAAATGCTATGGATTTGTGAACAGATTGACGGGAAAGTGTATGTAATTTATCATGTTTGAATATTTAGATGAAGGTAAAAATATCCAACCGTTAAAAATATAGTGTCAGCATTGTGAAATCAGCAAGGGATTACAACGCAACTATCACACGTACATCTATCTTAAATAACAAGAGATCCCAGAGGGATGGATCTTGGCGCCCACCACTGTACAATCTTCATTAGTTCTTTGTCAGCTCGATCTTTTCTCTTCTTTCCTCTAATCTGTTTGATCGAGTCATGTTAACAGTAAATGCACCTTGAGGTAACTTTTGATCTAAACTTAATACTGATGTGTATGAAAGCCAACCTTCAAAGTGAGTTTGTCATTTCACATATTTACTAGTACAGTACTTATGTGAAAGAAATAGAATCAATCATTGCAATATGAGAAAGATCTGTTTAGTTCTTCCTTTAGTCATTTTGTTTTTATGATCAGTCTCAAAATATAACATGCACAACAAGGGATCAAGGGGAACCTACATATCAAATTTGAGAAAGATCCCTCAAGTTATTCCTGAGAAATAGTACTAACAAACCTTCAATGTCAAAAAGCATAGATGGCTGTCGGTAGGCCATTTTGTTTAACTGATCAGTTTCAAAAGTAAACATGAACATTAAAGGATAGTGGGAAACCTGCATTGGCTGGCCCCCAATTTTTTTTGGGGAGAGTAAAATATTTTAAGCACTGGCCCAAATTACATATTGGTGGCCCAAATAATTTTGGGAAGAAATATTTCCACAGCATTTAACACAATGCTTCAGCACATTTAAATTACATATAGCATGACAATGTTTGTAATATGTAAAACAGAATAAAACATTATATTTTTAATTCTTCAACCCTAGTTAAAACCTGACATGATCCACTCCATTCAGGTCTTCCCAAAAAGAAATACACAAAACTTGCACCTCAAAGAAGACATCCTGGCAGTATTTATATAGAAAATCTGAAAAAAAAATCATCACATTTTCTAAATCATGGACAGTTCGATTCAAATCGAAGTAATGACAACTGAAAAATGTACTGCCCCCCAGTTAATGTGGAAGGGACTATAATTTCTTTTATTCATTAATTTTTCGACAGTCGCCTAAAGTATTTTTGTTGGGCCAGTGACTACCTCACTTTTGACAACTTTTGGCGAGCAGGAGACCGTCCATTTCAGGCACTGCTGCAACAACAAGGGAACAAGGGAAACCTACATATAAAATTTGATAAAGATCCCTCTGGTACTTCCCGAGAAATAGCGATAACAAACTTTCACTATCAAAATCCAAGATGGCTGCCTGTCGGCCATGTTGTTCATCCGATCAGTCTCAAAAGTGGCCCTGCACAGCTTATGACCAAGGGGAACCCCCATATAAAATTTGAGAAAGTTCCCCGTTGGTACTTCTTGAGAAATACCGATAACAAGAATTGTTTAAGGACGGACCACGGACGGACGGACCACGGACCACGGACGCAGGGTGATTTGAATAGCCCACCATCAGATGATGGTGGGCTAAAAAGGTAGTAGCTTGTCCATGTAACAATATTCTGTGGTATGATACCCGCAGAGTCTTAACTTTTCAATAGTTAGATTGTGTTTGTTTGAGTGTTTTACGTCCGCTTCACTACTGCGTAGTTCGGTTATCCAGCAGACAAAACACATAAAGACAACTCACATCTGTATATATACATACATTTGACAGTAACAGTGACGTCACTCGATGTCCGACTCCCGTATGTGTTACTGGCCGTACACCTGTACACGCCCGTCTGACCCTGTTGTATGTTGGTGAGCTGGAGATCTGACCCTGTTGTGTGGGACTGTCCATCCTTTGTCCAGCTGAAGGTGCATACTGGGTAACAGTCAGAGGAACATGCGACGGTAGGGAGAGTCTGTCCCTCTATAGGAGTGTAGGATGTAGTTGGTGGTGACAACCCCACACTGGATGGACCGTCTAAATCAATAATCAATATAAACATATACCGTACTAATAATGATTTGTTGTCCTGTTTATTCTTTTTTTGTGGAATAATGTTAAATCTCATTTTTCATGGTATTTTTTTATACATAAAAATGAACCTTTTTACCTCATACAGATTTTGCTGTAAATCTGAATAAAACAAACTCTATTGCTTCTCGAGATTTGAAAACTTAAACTGAACTATTCTGTAGCAATATATATTATTTTGAAAATGCATTAAGAAAATAATTTCTTATTATTACTTTAATTATTACTGTGTAGTTATCCCAGCATTTTTTTTTCAAACAAATTTTAATTTCATGACAAGAAATTTTCAACAATAACAATAATCAACAAAAACAACAACGCCAGTCAGTAATTTAACGTTATAACCACGTTTGAAAATTTGCAACTTTAAAATAATGTTACAATAATATTCAATATTTTTACATAATTTCAAGGTTATTTAACAATAATAAAGCATTTAAAATATTTCAACGTTCTTCAAAAAATACCTACCCTCGGAAAGATGTTAACGTTTATCTGACGCTCAATTATACCATTTGAAAAAATATTGGGGCTACACCTACTGTTTATACAAAATTGAGTGCCCTTTGCCCAAGCATCCTCCAGACCAAATTGGGATGAAATCCCTTAATTCCTATGGTAGAAGAAGGATTCCACAGAATTTTCCTCTATGCCCCACCCCCATCCTTTGCGCCAAGGGGGGGAGGGCACACCCACAATAAATACAATGATAGCCCTGGACTCAAGGATGCTCCGGACTAAATTGGGATAAAATCCCTATTTCCTTACAGAAGGAGGATTTAAAAGTTTTACCTCTATTTCCCCTATTTGGCCCTTAATATCTGCCCCTAAGGGAACCACACACACTGATTATACAAAACCGAGTGTCCTTGGCCTAAGGATGCTCCAAACCAAATTGGGATGAAATACCTCAATTCCTATGGTAGAAGAAGGATTTTGCAGGTTTTACCTCTATTTCCCCTATTGGGCCCCTCTCCTCTGCCCCTACGGGATCCACACCCACCGTTTATACAAAATTAAGTCCCCTTGGCCAAAGATGCTTCAGACTAAATAAGGATACAATCCCCTTATCCGTACGCTAGAAGAAGGATTTCAAAGGTTTTATCTCAATTTCCCCCATTTGACCCACCCATCTACCCCCAGGGGGCCACACCCACCATTAATACAAAATTGAGTCCCCTTGGCCCAAGGATGCTCCAGGCTAAATCAGGATAAAAACTCTTTATCCCTACCATAGAAGAAAGATTTTAAAAGTTTTACCTCTGTTTCCCCTTTTGGGTCCTGCTTCTCTGCCCCAAGGGGGGGGGGGGGGGGGGGNNNGGGGGGCCTCACCCACCATTAATACAAAATTGAATCACCTTGGCCTAAGGATGCTCCAGACCTAATTAGGATGAAATCCCTTAATCCCTATGGTAGAAATGTTTTTTTTAAGTTTTACCTATATTTCCCCTATTGGGCCATACCCACCGTTTATTCAAAATTGAGTTCCCTTGGCCCAAGGATGCTCCAGACTAATTAAGAATACAATCCCTTAATCCCTATGCTAGAAAAAAGATTTCAAAGGTTTTACCTCTGTTTCCCCTATAAGGTCCTGCATCTCTGCCTCCAGGGGGGCAACACCCACCGTTTATAGGAAATTGAGAGCCCTTAAATTGGTCCAAGAATGCACCAGACTAAATTTAGTTAAAATTCACTAAGCCATTCAGGACAAGATGCGTTTTAAAGGAAAAGTTGATGGACGGATGGACGCTGTGGTATGGCATAAGCTCACCAGTCCTTCGGTTTATTTGAATAAAATACTTTCTAGCATTTTCATTGACTAAAACAGGCTTCCTAACAGTGTTAGATGTTGATATCACTTACACATCACAGACACAATCACAGTTGTAGTTGACTCCCCGACAATATTTCTAGCAGTACATGTGTACGTCCCGTGTTCTGATCTGTCTAGTTGTCCCAGTGACAACACAGCTGAGGCAGTAAAGTTGGTGTTGTCAGGTCTTGTCCAGACAAAGGTACAGCCAGGTCTACAGTCAGCTGTACAGGTGATGTCCGGTAACGTGTCCCCCTCAGTCTTGGTGTAGGTAGTGTCAGGTGGAGACAGTGTAACAGTACCAGGACCAACTACAATGAACATATATGTATATACAATACATATAATCAGAAAAAAACCCATCTAAAGTCCTTGTGATGTTTAAATATAAAATAGAACAAAGGGGGAACTGTTTCTTTATGTTGACAGCACAACACATAAATTGATGACGTCATGATACAACAAAGATTGTGTTACAAAAAGAGATACATGTATATGATTACAGACATGAGTTTAGCAACAGACTTTTCGCAAGATTATCTTTTTTAATCATGCAACCATCTTTGCTGATAGAACAATTTAAACCAGGTTTTAATATATCGATAAACATTGATTCTTCTTAACATAGCAAATGAACAGTCCCCCCGATGAACCTCTTAGAGATGAACGCACTAGAGAGGTAATACTAAGAAACTCTTGTCATTTGTTATATATTTATATCATTATAAATTTCAACATTTTTACAATGTTGAGAATTGTATATGCATATAGACTACATCGATGATGGACGCTTGTATATAGACTAGTTTTAATACGGCTGTTTAGGCCGTTCAATGACCACCTTAAGTGCCATACCATGCCAACGTCACAGCCTGGACACGGTAGCAGCACGATCTATATCATGTCACATTATACTGACACCGGGTAAGCTACCCTAGTGTTATATACAGCCACAACCACTTGAAGGAAATTCAGTTTCAAAGCAAACATGTTGTGATATTCTACAAATCATAACACAGGAGTTTTGAATCCATTTAATTAAATTATCAAGTTTTTCATTACATTCGTTTTTTACATAATACTTAACACAAGCACGTGCTTCATAGCATCAAGCAAACCCAGGCTTACAGAATACCTTGAATACTATACAATTATGGACTTCAGGTGAGGTATATCCCTGATTTACGAACCAGGTCTGAACAATATTCACAGAGGCCGAAGGCTGGGGTGAACATTCATTTGAACAGACATCGTATGACTTAATTTGATCAAGTAAGTGGCCAAACTAGGCATTCTGATTATTCAGAAAAAAATACTTTACAGTTTTCGACATATATTACCTCTGTGACCTTGGATATGAATCAAGGGTCATTGATCCTTGGCCTTAAGATTATTCAGATTAAGTTGTTAAAATATTTCTGTGACACTTGCCCCCTGTGACCTCAATAATGATGGAAGATCATTAATTTCAACAAGTTTTGTTTATCCCGAAATTCTACGGGCCCCATAGCTATAGTTAATAACCATTCATTTCAGCATGTTATAAAAGCCCTGTATTGTTATTTGTTGCTAACAAATTTTAACATATTTGACCCTTGCTACCTCGATTATTGTGAGGGTCATTCATTTGAACAAATTGTGTACCCCTTTAATTATCAGAAAGAGATAAAACTGTGATAAAATTGTAGTCAATGTGCTAGACCACTATTGTCATTATGTAAAACATCTGTATTGGAAATAGCAACAAAGATGAGTCTGATGCTGTAATTATTAATGTTTTCATAATGGAATCATGTCTTCAAGACGATATTTTGTCGTCAGTGTACCCCAATTCAAAAATTGTTTATTCAATTTGTATGAGTAGATATCAAATTTTCTTTTCTATAACAAGTTGATATATCCCGCCTGTGGTTCATTGAAGTGAACGCAAATTACTTTTACGGTCACGTTGGCTCTTTGGACTAAGGGACACTTTGTTATTTGCGCTAACATATGGGATAGAAGATCATCATAGGCAAAAACTTACACACAGTTCAAATGTATTAGACTCAGAAGAGTTCAGATTAATTTTCTTCTCCAAAAATGAGGTAGACAGTGTCGCTACTGGCTAAAAAAACTAGCGTCTGCTTAAACTAAACAGAGAAGGGAAGGGTGATAACAGACTGCATTGGCGATTTGGGGTGATATTAAGGTTAAAACAAATCGCTTTGTATCACATAGCATACGGTGTTATCCAGTGAATATGCCCATGCCATATTTTTTGCGTATTAACACATGTTATATTACCTATCAGCCCTGTGATTGATTGTAAGTTTCAATTGTTTCAACTCTGACGTCACGCCTAGGACAAGTACATGACGTCACGATGACAATGACAAGTTTTTGTTCTCGCAAACTGGTAACAGTGTAGAGAATTAACATGTACACGCTCAATTATGTGCTGAAGGAATTTTATAAGTGAAATTTATTCTTCATTATTGACATTGAAAGTACTAGGACTTTCATAATAATATCGCGACATACATTTTCTTCTGTTTTGCAGTATCCGGTGGTAATTACAGTTAAACAAATAATGATATTCGTCTCCAATTTCATTCAGGTCGCAAAAAATACGTTTTCTATCTTCTCTTGGAATGTTATTCCGTCTACCACATTCAATTGGAAATTTAGCATTAACAAATTTAAATTTACAATAAACATTTGCTAATCTTGTTATTTGAAAACTTACACAACATGTAAGTTTGGTTGATGTCAGCAAATGCACACACGTGGAGAAAAGCAGAAAACGACGAGCAATTTAACAAACCAAATACTACTAGAACTATTGAACTTGCCTTCGTAGGAAATATGTCAGGAGCACTGAAGCATCGATACCAAAAGAACCATTACAGCCACACGAGATTCCGAAGTAACCGTGGCAGTCAGTTTCAACAGACCTATCTGAATATGACGGCAAGTCGTGCATAGTCATAGTGGACTATTACAGTCGTTCGTCGAGGTCTTGCAGCTCGATTGCTATAAACCGGTCATTCGCAAAATCAAAAGCGCCTTTGCTCTGTTTGGAATCCCAGAAAAGGTTGTCTCGAACAACGGTCCGCAGTACTCGTTCGAGAAATTCGCGAAT